GCTACGATAAGATGATTTATTGACCGACTAGCTTGGAGGACTTCCTTATAATTTTTCAGCCCAATGCCAGAATTCGCAACTGGTTGGGCCTACGTTAAATTGACATGTACAAGAATCAGGTAGAGAATAGCAATGCACTCTATTTTGTAGATCATCATGGAAAAATATATATGACCCCCCGTAAGATGTGCACGAGTGCATCGGAATCCATTTGGAGTCTTCCGATATGCATAAATAATGAAGCGAAAAATGCAGTGTGTCTCGAACAAAAACACCAAACGATCGCCGGGCAGCGCCCAATCCAAAAATTAAAGACAACCACTTTTAGGATCGATTGACAAATTAGTGCACTGCCGCATGGACTTCAACAGCATCTATCATTTGAATATAAATAAAAATCACTGGTAAAACTTACGTTTGTTTCTTTCCTCCTCGTCACTCACAGTGGAGGAATCGCTACTATCGCTCTCAGATGAATCATCGGAAGAATCAGACACCATATCTTCAGTCTAAACAAAACGTAAATTTAATAAAGATAAGGGAGAGGTCGAGAAGGAAAACAGGATAGTAACTAAGGGCATGTACAGAATCAGTATTTGAAGACGCTTACAATCGGATACGCAAAAGGGTCGCGACCGTCGTCTGAGTTGTTCTCAACCTCAACATGCGATGCAGGCTCCGGTGCTGGCTCGCTAGCTACTGCCTCTGTTGGCTGCTCTGTGGAAGCAGCTTCAGCCGGTGGTGGAGCTCCTGAACAGATCACGATAATGTTTATTGTATGTGAATGAATAAGTATAAGGTGGAAGAAAGAAAATGAGAGACGATTTGGATACTCAGTGGAAGGTGGATCAAAGACGTGGAAGTTTCTTTTTTCTCCATGGTTACCTCACAGGAGGAATAAAAAGAGGATAGGTTAGACTCGCAGCACGAGCACAAAGTAACGAATGAGAAGTTTGATAAAGAAGCTACACAGTATGACCCTCTTCTTCTTATTCTTTAGCGTCTGTCCCGCTTGTAGGCGGGGTCCGCTTTTCTGATGTGTTGACGCCACTTCTCCCGATTGAATGCTTGATCGGGGTGGATGTTAACGCTCTTCAAGTCTTCGTGCAACGTGTCGAGCCATCGCTGCTTCGGGCGTCCTCTAGGCCGCTTTCCGCGCACGTCAAGGTTGAGACCGATCTTACGGACACTGTCCTCATTCGCGCGAAGAACATGTCCATACCATCGGAGACGGGCTTCGCGCATTTTATCAACAATCGGAGCTACACCGAATCGCTCCCTCGTATGACATCATTTTACGAATCGGTCTTAGTCCTGTGATTCCGGCTGTTTCCAATGAGTAAATCTATGTGTCCACACACTGAACGCTTCAAACTCTTGTAAGCAGGCCAGACTTCGCACCGTAAATCGCGACCGGCCGGATGACGGTTCTACAGATCTTGGATTTGAGACAATATAACTCTCACAGCTTGTTATTTCTTTTACTGACGCATCAAAATGGCATAGTCGAGATCGATCAACGACTTCGAATGTTTCACACATTTGATTCACATAAAGAGTAGAGATGACCCTCTCGGCAGAGGCTCAATATGTTTAGTTCGAGCTAGCAACCGCTCAAGACAATTACCTAGAGTTTTCAGAGGACAGGAAAAACGGTTGATGCCTAACAGTTAGCGCAGATTTGATCCTATAAGCCTCACTCGCAAGCCATCTAGAGCTACGCAGTGCTTACCCTTAAACAATCATAGCTTCGACTTTACTTAAGCACGACTGAACCCCTGTTTTGGTGAAGGCTCAAGACCCTAATTAGATAACGATTTTTTGTATAATCAACTATGATGGTCGCGGGTCCAATTGCTTGTAGCATTACACAAAGGTGGGGTTGAATCAAGAAAAGCAGAGCAGAAACGTCAAAAGGATGCATCATTGGCTGCCACTTTCTCTTTTCTATTCCAATTAGTTTCGGTGGCTCGTAGCTTTTGGCTCCCGAAGGGATGATATCGAATACGTCAACGTTGCCGGAGAGAGGTTGGTGAACGACAGAATTGAGAGAAGATCGATCCGCACCGAGGAATCCCGTGTCAAAAATCTTTATCCCGCTGTCACCTGCCAATTCTATGTACAGAGACCTATGTAAATCACGGGCTGGAGCAAAGGAGGAACCACAAGATATTAGATAGGAACTCTTCTTGGTGGACTGTTCATCTGTTGCTTCGTTATGCTGCTGTTCCCGAATTAAACCTGAGTACTTTGTTTGTGATTGGCACGCTTCATTTAGTGACATAGCGAAGCTCAACATAGAAGCCTTGTCTTGGTCAGGACTGGAGTGCTTTTCTGTTTGCGCAAGAGAGTGACGAGAGGAAAATGGTACGACATACTGTATCAAAATGTGCGAAAAAGTCGAACGAATTCAAACGAAAGAGGTACTACAAACTGACAAGAAGGACAAAATCACTGGTTGACAAAGTTAGGAAGAGACATACCAGCTTCAGGTGTACTTGCACGTGAGGAATCACTGTATACAGCACTGCTGCCTGAGTAGGAAGATGACGAAGACATCCTTACAAACTGAAAAAAATGACGTAGGAGATGATACAGGAACGTTCTCAAAGCACATAATGTCATTTGGGCGCTCATTTCACCAAAAAGGATATACGGAAAGGAACAGAAAAGAAAGCAAAAGGAACCCAAAAGCAGCCACCGCTGCAGCCACAGCAGCTGAGATGTGTGCGCGTATTGGTGAAGTGTTGTCTGCGATTACACAGAAACTCTCCAGCTATTCGACGTTTCAATTTTGAATAGCAATTTATTTTATGTATGTTCTTCTCGTCGCTTATTTTCTTTCCATTATTTCTGAAAACTTATTTCCTATTCATGAGTTGATTATAATCAGGGTCGTTCTAGGTGCCAAGGGGTAGCAGCCTTCTAATGTCTGCTACATTTACAGTGAGTTTTTTTAGTGCATTCCCCTTCTGATTCTATTCGCCACGGCTCCATTTTTCAGTGCCGACCATTGCACACCTTATCTCATACACATGAATTTGTGCCTCCTTCCTCTCCTACTCGGTTTCATCACCGGCTCGTTGTCGCATCAAAATACCACATCGCTGTAGCGCTAGCAAAGAATCATGAGGTATGTCATCATAGATGTGATCAGACTTGTTAGCTTTTCCTTTCTGCAGCTCTAGTATGGGGGCCTTTGAAGACTCCTTGCTTCTGGGTATGTTTTTCAAGTTTCTCAAGAAAGCTGCGCATATTCACAAGGAGACGTTTTTAGCTTGTCGCTTTCCGAAGCTCCGTGCTACATCAGCCAACAAGCGGAATTGTGGGTGATGCTAAGGTTCAGACCAAAATCACATCTTTAGATTCGAAGGTACGCAAACCTTTTCTCACCACAGCCTTAAGCATGAGCTCATGTTATCTCTTTTCAGACCGACATCGTAAGTATAGGATTGAATGCTGATGAAACTTTGCTTGGGGTGTTTGGTCATACACCTCAAGGCTGCTTCGTCTATATATTTGACATTTTGACGCTGTCTGTTGACGTTACAGGCGAGGTAATTAATGGGTACCTTGAATTCGCCTTCAAAAAGAAGTAACTTCCACTTAAGGCCTTTCCCATATCAACTGTTCGTATCGGTAACTCGGCATCTAAAGGGCTTGCGTTTGAATGGAATCCAGCCGTAGCAGATATGTTTGCTGCTTCAGACAGTGAGAGGACGTTGAGTGTGGTCAAAATTGATCTACAGGTCAGTTTATATTTATTAACTTGTTAGCCATGTACTGTTGCTTGAACTGTTGTTAATTGAATGCTACTGGTCAGAATTCGTCAAAGTACACAATGGTTGGTGAGAAGAAGTTGGAGGGAAACATCAGCGAGATCTCGTGGAGTCCTAAAGGGAAGCAGCTGGTAGTTGGCGATGTGCGCGGCAAGATCTATCAATTGAAACCAGAGCTCGAGGTCGCTTATCAAATATAAATGGGTTTTCCTTCTACAGAGGCAATTTTCGCTATGTGATCACTACTTTTAGCTCGTTCGCACAACGAATGCCCCCGAAAACGCTGGAAGTGTGGTGGTGATCAATTTGAGTTGGCTTTCTACTACAGATTGGTTAGTCGCCTATTCAAACGCTGAAATGACAACTACTGCTGTTTTCATGCTGAGCATCAAAAAGGTTAGCTTTATGCTCGTAATTTGCTAATTACAACATTTGCTAGACGAAATGATGGAGTTGCACTAGGATCGTTGAACTGGTAAATATCACTTCTTTTTGCTGTGATTTAATTTAATTTAAGGATAAGCCACCGTCATGGAGTCCTCTGAACTTCCCACCTCAGTCCTCCCTAGGAGTAACAAGAAGGCTCTTGGTGGACTGGAACATTGCTTTAGTCCTATCTCCAAGCTCACCAGATCTGGTAGCTATATGCAAGCTTGCGAACAGCAATGTAAGGCTTTCGCACCCTAACCACTGAATACTCGACAGTGGTAATTTGCTGTTTTAGGCTTGGATCAGCACAAGTATAGCAACCCTACCCCAACCGTCTAATGCAAAATTCGCGATCGGAGTTGCGGTGGACCTTTCAAACCAGAATATGGTCACCATAGGTGGGTTTGCTTCACTCTTAGACGGCGAAGTTTGCAGTGCTATTTCTAACATTTATAGTAGAAGGTCAACGTGATTTATCAAGCTCTTTCTAATTTTCTCTTTTCATTTTTTGCTAGCCGCTCACGAGCACCATTGAGCTCAATTAATCGTAAGACGCCAATGCCGACATATTTTTTTTGCAAAAACGTTCGAGGCTATAGTTAAATGAGTTATACGGTTTGATGCCGGGGTATTCTGAGTAAACTTTACGTGCGAAGGTTGATGATGGTAGGATTTAGGTGACGGATCTTCACGTCGCCTACCAGTAGTGGTGGTGTTGTATAGTGACGGATCAGCGCTTTCGCTTCAACTTGCGCCGCCTTCGAAAGACTATCCTGATTGTAATGTGTGAGTGTTTTGCTCCCGCTTCTTCATTTTGGAGTTTTTCAATTTATTTTTCGCCGCGGATTTTCCTTAGTTTCCCTTATTCTATGCTGAGGAATTTGATACTGTTCCATAGCCCAACAGGCTGTTGATTTTTGTGCTGTTTCAGGTTGCCTGCTGCTGTGGACGTTAGTAAGATTACTAATGGACTTCGTTCATCATCCGCCTTGCTGGCACACCTAGTGCCATAACGCAGGCCCCCGTATCAATGGGAACCGCTCCACAATCTACGCCTTTCTTGAGCGCTTTTGGCACAAAGAAAAATGAAACTCCAATTCAACCGTCAGCCACTTCATCATTCGGAATTTTCGGAGGAGCCCAAACTCAGCATTCTGTGCCGAATGCATCAGTGACTCCAGCGCAGAGCTCGCTAACTGCTGGTGGACTGTCTCTGGGTGCAGCAGTTCCTGCTCAGAAGCCACCCTCAGGAGCCATGTTTACTGGATTTCAGGTATGGCAACATCAGCGAATCCTGTTACGTTGCAGACGGCGGCTATCCCACCCACAGGTGCACTTTTGAAGTCTTCAAAAACTTATAACTTGGTAATGCTTGCTTTGGTTCAGGTTTAACAACTCCTGGGAAGGTGTTCAGTGATTAGGCGCTCGTACTCCCGAAGCCAAACCTGCCATTCCATCTGCAACATCAGCAGGACCTAAACCTCTCACTGCGACGCCTGTAAAACAGGATGGAATCTCGGTTCGAGACCAATCTTTTTAAAGCGGTGTCTCAAGGTGATAAACGATACTGTTGTTCAGGTGACTGACTCCGCTGAAGCTGCCAAAAAGGCTCTTGCCGTGGCTCGAGCGTCAGCCATAAAATCGATTGAAACTTTCAGTAGTGATTGGCACGATTTTCATGAACTACTGCACTCGTTTCGCATTAATATGCAGAAAGTCGAGGATAGTGTCAACGAAGCGGGTGCAGTCTTCCTTCCCCGTCTCCCTTCTGTATTGCTGTTGTAAGAGCATTTAGAAAATGCTTAATTTCGAGTAGTACTGCTTCTCGTAGACAAATTGTTTGTCATTTTAACCACAAAATCAAAGGAGTAGTAAAGTTGTTGTTGGTGACAACATTTCTAAACACTTGGTTTCTTTATACCTTCCAGAAATTCCAATGTTTTGAAGTCTTCTCAAAATATACTTATTCGAACTCTTTACAGTGAGCTCTCTAAGTCACTCGGATAATTTGGAGACCGTTGAAGAGATCCGACAAATGGTGATAGAATTGGATGATGAAATGCAAGATATTCTGGCAATGTTAGCAGGTAAATCTTAGATCAACGCAGCTTTTTAAACACTTATCTTGAGGAGCTGTGTTCGTGTATGTAGAGGTTGTAGTGCCAGCGGGATGAAATTTCAGAAAGAAAAGTTCTCGTCGATGAAAAAACGGCTCTCGCTAAGGAATGTAAAAAGGTTCGCAGATAATTTTTGGACCTGCTGCGGACCGACTGGAGGTTCGTTCTTCTGCAAACGCTTATTTTCAGTTGAAATGAGCCTTACCAGTCCTCACTTTGCTAGTTATTACTTATTTTGTGTGTTTGTGTTGCAGAGGCTTCAATCTGAACAAGTTCTCCAAAGATACGAGGATTTTTCTCTGAAACTTCATGAGGCGAAGAAATTGCTAACGGATACAAAAAAGATCTCCGTGAGTGACTGGTCTGTGAAAATCTCTTCAAATTTCTGTAAAGAATGCTTTTCAGACGACATGTAAACCTCGACGCGTGACTCAGTTCGATCCGAAGTTTGAAGGGCGTATCTACGAAAGCATGAAGAACTTATCACGCTATTCGTCGACTGTGCGGTTACGTATTGATGAGTTGGAAAGAAAGGTCTTATATTTGACAGGGTGCGTTTCGTCCGGTTTACATTTTGACTCTGTAAAAGAAAGGAGGTTTCACGTGTGGCACATGTTTTGCCCATAACCACCATTCTTGTGAAAGCAAAGTGTGTGTTCATTTTTAGGCTTTAGTGTTACAAAAAGACAGTGCTGCTGCTAAGCAGACTATGAGTTGCCCAACCTACATATTGCCGAGGTTCCTTCTATATGGTTCAGCTTGTGTGTATCCGAAGCCGCTGAAACTAAGTCGTGGTGCGTCAAAAGCTGAAGTGAGAGCAAAGCTACTTGAAGCTTTAAGATCAAAGGTGAGGAATTGGAAACAATAGAGTTTGTGAAGCCATGTCAACTCCAACCCTCACATTGTCTTGACCCGATTCGACTCTAAACAGGGAAGGTCTTGATCAAGCCTAAACTTTTCACCGAAGTTATTCTATTTTCGAAGAGAGCCCTGTGAGCATGCTCGAATCATTTTCTTTGTCTAGAAAGAAGTCAAAACGACAATCAAGAAGTTGGAAGCTCTCCGGTTTGACAGTGCGCCTAGCGCCATACTTTAGTTCGCTTTTTCAATGCCAGCGAGTTACCGAAAGGCAACCTTAGCTCAGAAGTGCTGACCATAGAAATCATAAATTGCAAGTACAATGTATATTTGTCTTTCTTTTGTGGTATAGCAGTACTTTGTAAGCGGTCAATTCTTTTGCCGCACACTCTAGATCCTGAGCACTTCGGGTCGCTGTGATTGTGCATAATTGAGCAGTTCAGAAAACCTGACACATCCCATTTGTTTAGATAGCGTCACCTGCAACTGTGAAACCTGTGCTGTCAAACGAGAAATGCCAGTACTCAGGCTGATGCGCCACCCCAAGTTCAGCCGAAATTGGTTGCTGCAGCAAGCTGTGAGTCCAACATTTGAATTACCTGCTGTTGTTCGGCACAAGAAATCGAGTGAAGGTTTTGTTTGCTTTCAGTGCCCATACCCTCACAGCAAGCGAAATCTGATGGTTCCGCGGCAGTTGGATTCGCCACTAATCTAGTTGGGGACAAGAAACTAACTGGCTAGTCGATCTTGATTTGTAGTTCGAAAAATAGGACTGCATAAGCACTTTTTCAGGTACTAACACAGCTTCTATGTCAGCATCCACTCCAACTGCATTTAAATTTACTACGGTACGTGCTTCATATCAGCCACATACCATCAACTAACTACATCGTATTACTTTGCTACTGAAGCATACATATTGTTCATGCGCACTGTAGTACTGAAGTATTAACATCGTTAGTTTTTTTTAGGGTCTAGGTAATACTGGAGGATCATTATTTGCCGAAAAGCAATCTTCGATGATGCAAAAGAAGAGAAGGAGAGCCAAGGGTTAAAAGTCTGGTCATCATTTCCGATTCCTTATTATATCTATTATACAAGCGTTTAGATACATCACTCACTAAATTTGGTGCTAGTCCACTGGTGACGAAGCCGCTTTTTGGTGGTTTATGTAAGTTTTCGTCGGATTTCGTGGAAGTACCAGTTTCATAAGATGCTATCAATCGAGCGAGGCGGACGAATATAGTTAGCAATCATGCGTATTTCTCATTATGAAAACAACTGTGTTTCTGCGACTGCCCTATGCAAGCGGAGGACCATACTTGTTCGTAAAGGAGTGTCAGGATGCAAATTTATGTGTGAAGCGTTTGACTCTATGAATTCTTTTTGAATGATATGGGCGACCGCAGTAGGCGAATGCTGAGCGTGCCGTAGCAGTGCGCCAATCTCAATCAATTCATAGGTAATGGTCGTAAGGTTACCATTTTATCTATTCCACGAGTGTGGCTTCTTTTTACCAGCGGAGTCTCGTGTGGGCCTCTTCAGACCCGAGGCCTTGTGGCATCAGTTAGCTGGTGTCGCGTCCTCGGTCGACTGTACCATCGTCTACCGCCGCTCGAAACCATCTTCGCCCTCGCCGCCGCCTCCTGTAATCAGCTTGAATCATACGGAGTATTCTCTGCGTCTCAGAAGGCAATCTATCGAAGGTTTCATGATATTCAGAGCGCCATTCATACACATTTCAGCGTGTTACATGCGAGTGTGATCAGTAGCATGGAAGGCATTGTTAGTTCTCAATATTCTCTGTTTTACAAGGCAACTATTTCAGCCACTGCGGCTGTCGCTACCACTGCGTCTACTACACCGCTAGCGTCAAAATCTCTGTTTGGTGCGAATTTCTTCTGTTTATATTTGCATCAATTTAAAATCCTTGATGATGATCATGTTGTGTTTTTTTTATTTGGTTTTCTGTACAGTACTTACCTTCAGCAACATCCACTAAGCCGCTTAGCACCATCTTCAAATCTCTAATACCATATTCGGTTAGTGCTCCCTTTTTCTTCCTAACCAGGAAGGTCTTTCAGGGCGTGACAAGCTTTTTGAAAACGGTCTTTTGCATGATATAGGGGCAGATGCGGGAACCACAGAACCATGTTCAATTTTTCCTGAACGGCCCTCTGAATACCAGAAAAGGAGGTCCCTAGTTCGATTCCTCGTGGTAACAAATTTTTGCATTTCGAGTTGACGTGCCAAAATTCGCGCAAAATGGAGTTAGAACCAACCAGAACAATCAGAACTCCATTTTGCGCGAATTTTGGAACGTCAACTCGAAATGCAAAATTTGTCACCAAGAGGAATCGAACTAGGGACCCCCTTTTCTGGTATTCAGAGGGCCGTTCAGGAAAAATTAAACATGGTTCTGTGGTTCCCGCATCTGCCCCTATATCATGCAAAAGACCGTTTTCAAAAAGCTTCGTCACGCCCTGAAAGACCTTCCTGGTAAGGACTTTTTGCCGAGTGTTACGCTTTCTTTGGGAAGTTCTTGAAATTTTCACTGATATTTGAACTTAGTGCATCTGAACATGGAATTTTAATGTCTATGCTTTATAATTTGAGGAATTTGTGTTTCTATAGGTGGAGCTGGGATCATCCAACAATGAAAAGAAAGATGAGAAACCGCTGTCAATTTTCGGAACTAAGGGTTTGTTGCGTTTCATGTATTCCTGTCAATCTTGTTTTCATTTCTACGCTTAAGAGCCTTCAGCGTCTGTGAACGAGGAAAAGAAGGAAGAGAAGCAGACATCTCTGTTTTGGACTACAGGTATACATTCATTTGTATTCACGGTTTAATACTTTGTTTGTTTGTGCTTCAAGTTGTCTTTTACAGCTGCCGCTGGGCAGGAAAAGAAGGACGAAAAGCCGTCGTCGCTATTTGGAGGCCTTGGTATGCACTCCATAGCTAAAACATTTTCACTGTTGAAGTTCTTTTTTCTTTTACGTTATATTTCAGGATCTCTCAATGTTGAAAAGAAGGAGGAGAAGCCGTCATCTCTCTTCGGTGGCTTAGGTAATTCGAATTCCATTGGGTTAGATTGGGAAAATACAATGGACGACTTTTAGGAGCAGCAGGATCCACCACAGAAAAGAAAGATGAAAAACCGACATCATTATTCGGAGGCTTAGGTAACTGCTACAAAACTGCAAATTGCTCTTGCGCTTCCATATTTATGTGACTTATTTCTCGCGACACGGTGCTGTTTTAGGCTCCAGCGGGGAGAAGAAAGAGGAGAAGACTTCTTCATTGTTTGGTGGTAAGCATTCGCGTTCCCGTCCCGGTAAAGGTTTGGGCTTTTCAGTTATCTTCCAATTTTCAGGAGGATCGACAACTCTACAATCTGAAAAGAAGGAGGAGACCCAATCATCCATCTTTGGAGGTTCGAATGGATTATCATAGTATTCGTGAATCGTTACCCTTTTTATACTGTGCCGTCGTATATTTCAGGGAGTACTCTTTCTGCGGCTGCTGAGAAAAAGGAAGGACAAACCGTCCTCATTATTTGGTGGCTTGAGTTAGTTGAAATAATTCCACTTAAGATTTCCTGATTGTTTGCTGTCTGAGCCAATGCATTTTAGCACAAAGCTCGCCAAAATCAATCTTTCGGGAAGGAGGTGAAAGCTTCAGATTCCGAGCAATCATCGAAGCCTTCAGAGCCCGCAGTCATACAGGATGCAAGTAAAACCAGTGAGTGGAGTTCTTTTTGAGGCTGCTCGGATATTCTTCTTTTCCGTGATAATCTAATTTCGAGATTCAGGTGGAGGGAGCATTTTCGCGTCGTCAGCCGGCCAAGCTGAAGCAAAAATTGAACAAGGTCAGCAGCCAGTTATTTTTATATTTTGACTAGGCAAAAATAATATGCATCCAGCTTCGGTGTTGCTTAGCTGTTTAGGTTTTTCACGTATTGTACCTATTGAGCTTGAAAGGTGTTTTTTTCGGTCTTCCCCTAAGGGAACATTGCTCTGTGAACACTCCAATTAATAATCGAGCTTCTCACGAGAGCAGTGGAGTTTGTGGCAGAATTCGGGATTTTTCGTACATGTGGAGTTAATCAATTTCTCGAGAGAGATAAGTAGAGCACAAAGGGATATGCTGTCTCCTAAAAGTAAATCTTTTGATTAGGGTCCTTTAGATAATGAGTTGAGATTATTGTCTTAAAAAATGAAGTTAGCCACTGATTTTGAATTACCGTTGTATACTTAATCTGGTCTTTCTAGGCATTGATTTTTTCTCTTGTAGGTCCCGCAAGCAGTCAGGCCAGCGGTTTCGGTAGCATTTTTGGTGGGAAACCTCTTGGAACAGGTTAGGTTCAAGGAACGAGTGTGATTCTATTTTTTGCTATCAGTTCTAGTTTCCAAGTTATCATTCCCTTTTTCGTGTGTGTTAATAATTCCTATTGAAGCTGGAGCGGTAACTACATCAAGTCCTCCTGCCGCAGTGACGTTTTCATTCAAACCAAAAACTGCCACTGAAAGTCAACCGGCTGCCACTAGCTCTACCTACAGTTTTGGCGCTAAACCTTTCGGTACCTAAATTTGCTCTATCATGTTAACTAGAAAGGCTTTCATGATAGAAAACTTTTGCTTGTTCCTTCAGGTTTCGCAGCAGCAGCGGCTTCAGCAGCAGCCACCGCTGATACTGATGAGGGAATGGATGATGACGGTGTTGCTGGGGGTACATCTCAGGCTACTAGCAGTATTTTTGGCGGAGGTTTTATGAGGTACCACTTTTGGAGTATTTCGAACTATCAGTACATCAGATTTCCCCATGTTCGGCACGATTTCTGTGCGCATTCAAGAATTTATGGTTTAAATTCAGAAGGAGCGGACTTATTTCAGAAGGAGAAATTCCTCCTCTTCATTTGAAGATGGGATTATGCGTACAGTATTAAATCACAACAAAAATTAATATGCTTAGAAAGAGAGGCCGCCAGACGTTGGCATCAGGAAGAAAGTGGTGCTCTAACATAAGCGCTGCGTACTACGAGGAAAGAGTTACATGCAGCTTTGCATCTAACGGTCATCGGGCGATCGGTAAACGGCTTCCTACCCGCTGCCACGCCCCCCCCCCCCCATCCTGGTCCTCCACAACTGACACTCATAAACAGAGCAGCCCTTCTGGTTGTTCCAGTAGATGGGACTGATTTTCAGACTATTTTGGCTCATTTTTTCTTCAAGGTCGATAATGCCTAAATCTACTTCAGCTTTGTACATGCTTTATCTTAAAAAATCATGCAACTCTTGAAGATATTGTATTTCAGTGGAATCGGCTCAAGTGCAAGTAGTAATGCAAATAAGAACGTGTTCGGAATGGGTAGTAGCAGTTTGTTGAAGACAGCTGCAAAACAGGAGACAAGCTCTATTTTCTCCAAACCACAAACCTCGGTATTTTTTGAACCAAAACTGCCCTTCTATTTCTTCAAGTACGTATATCTTGAAAATTGCTTTGATCAGGTGTTCGGCTCCAATGCTCAGCCCTCGTCATTCGCTTCGGCAGCACAAAAAGCTGCTCAGTCATCTTCGCCTATGTCATCTTCTGTATGTTTTCTACCAATAATTTCGCTGTTAAAGCCGAAATATCTATCAAATTGTGAGTGTTCAGGTATTTGGCGCTGCCCCGAAATTTGGCGGTCCACCAGTGTTTGGAGGAAAGCCGGTATTTGGATCTCCTACCCAGCAGCCTTCGACTGCCTTTGGTGGAGCAGCTGCGACTAGTGGAGGATTTTCAGCGTAAGTGTCTTCAATGCTTTGATTGTTTGTAAGGCTAGTACAAATGCATACACGTATCTGTAATCTTTAAGAATTTTTTTTTTGTTTGAAATGGGGTTACGTGTGGTTTTGCAGATAGTCCGATGTATCAATGTATTCTTTGGTGGTACAACTCGAAAAGTACTGCGTTGATCGAGTGGGACGATTAGAGGTGTTTACTAATTCCTAGGAATTCTGAAGAGAACGCGCTGTTTGAGCGAGCACTGCCAAAGAAGTGCAATCACTGAAGAAATGCAAGAGAAACCCGTCTTGATGCGTAGGCCAGGAAAATGAATTCTGACGACAGGGGACTCTGGCATCATATGGAGAACAAAGAGAAGGTAAAGAAAAGAAATGCTCGGAGTCAGTAGATATCTTTCCGGAGTCTGTCCCCGCCAAGACGTCGCCTGGCGCATTAGGCCTACGCAATGACCTGCAGAGTTGGCCGGAGTGTGATTTCCCTTCATGCAAGTGGACGTCAGTGAAAAAAGGGAAGAAAGCCTTGACAAGACCAAAATGAGACGCCTCTCCAGTAGCAGCGAAGCGAAGAGGGGGATCCAAGGTGGTGGGAGGAGCTCATGGTGTTGCGAAGCTTTCCCATATACTAGCCCGGCTTGCATTCGTGATCGTCAGTTGCCATTTTCTGGTTGTTTATATTGCTCAGCATCAGAGTTCAGTGAAACTCTTCTTTGGAAGAATTATGTTGTAAAACGGAACAAGTTCCTTTTTTATGTAGATAACACAAAAAGTCCTCCTGATGTCTTACTGTAGAGTCCTGCTCATAAATGCGCCACGAATGCGCTATGTTAAAGTGAGGAGAAAGGATAAAACTATTGGCGTCAAATGACCCTTCTGGGTTGTTGCGCCATGCATTCGAATTCCATTAAGGATTGAAGTGACATTTGAATGGGATTCGACCTATAAATATCGGGGCTAGCCGTTGTACAAGGTGGGTTTTACCCTCCTAGACAAGTCTGCTACCAATTGCTGACACAGGGGTATGGAAGGCTTTGCTTCAGGGGAAACTCAGGCCGGGTTTTAAACCCTGCACTGCTCCCCTGAGAAACGCTACCACTTGCCACTACGTCACCCCCATGGACATCTGGGCAAGGATTGTCTAGTAGACAAAAAGACCGAGAGATTCATAATGGCTATCCATTATGGTGTAACAAAGGAAGCAGGATTGTTGTAAACTGGAAAAACATCTGCGACTGGATTTGAAACATGAGGATGACTTGCACTGTCCTTTTCTTGCCTTCGTAATCGCCACAGCAAAGCGCTGATTGTTCGTTTTTAAGGTTTTCTGGCAACAAGAATTTGTTCGGAGGAGTGGCTTCTAGCGGTGGTAGCTCATTATTTGGAGGTGGAATGTCGAATCAAACTCAACAAAAACCGAGCTCATTGTTTGGAGGAGGGCAGCAGGCTAGGTGAGATGACGTTAACAAGAAAGTGTTTATTCTTTTTTATTTTTTTATTATGTGCTTCGTTTTATTCCCATCTTTTTCAGCTCCTTCAGCACTTGGCGCTGATTTTGGTCTGGATCCATGTTTTCATCTCATTATTATGTTGACCTGAAATTATTATACTTTTTACTGATGTTGTATAGGCAAAGGAATGTCCGATTGTCGTTGAGAATCCTGTAAAGAAATTTTGAATAAAAGTGTATAAAACTTGTTGTAATGGTAAGAGTGTGAAGAATCTGCACGGATCTGAAACAGGTTTTGAGTGCGTGGTGGTGAGATGTTGATTGTTGTCCATAACGACCCCATCGTGACGAAGGCCGTTCGCTGAAATCTTTGAAGTGGGTGGTTCGTTGTGCATTGAAAGTGGGCGGAAGAACAGGTGACTGGTCACAACTTCTTACTCTGAATACTGTTCCAAGGGCATATTCTGGTTTGGTAGCCTTTTTTTGAAAATTATTTCGACCTCGAACTATTACACTTTCATTTTCATAACTTTTTCTTCTTCTAGACCCTATCGCAAGGTACAGGGGCATTACAGTTTCCATGCATCTGAAACATTTCCTTTCTTATTAACCCATTCGCGACCGCGCCGGATTGCGCATAGCAGGAGAGTCAGGAGATTTTTCTTCAATAAAATTTGAGTGGATGGAGATTTCCCTGCCCAGGGCTGGCGTAGATGAATGAGGGTATGAAGATTCTTTCAGGAAAGAAAACTTTCCAAATTCCATTTGAAACACGGCAGCCACCGGTGGATACCATTGTCCCGAGTGAGATCTTTGTCAGCCACCGGTGGC